CGCCCCCACGCCAGCCCAGGTGGCGGGGGCGCGCGCCCGCCCAGGTGACTCCCGGCCAGCCCCGCCTTCAGGCGGGAGAAACCATCTCAAGGCGAGGGGAGAGACGGAGACCGCGGCCTCCCACACCGGAAGCGGAAGTCTGGGGCATCGGAAGTGGTGGGCATTCTGGGTAATTTGCTGTTTATATTCTGTGGGTGAGGTACCCGTGGCGAAGTTCGCTCCTCTTCTGTGGGAGACTATGGCTCTGGAGACGGTGCCGAAAGACCTGCGGCACCTGCGGGCTTGTTTGCTGTGTTCGCTGGTCAAGGTATGCATCGGGATCCTGGTTGTGGGAGCGATGGGGACCCAACCTGGGGGAAGGAAGGTGGAACGGGATGCGGGAAGCTGCAGGACGCCATTGTTTACGTCGGTAGGAACAGAGCTTGCAGTGTTGGGCGCGGGCGGTCTTACGTGCCTTTGAATGCTAAGCACTTAGCCCAAGTATAACCCTTAACAGACGTTCAGCGAAATTCTGTTAGAGCCGAAGAACACTGGGAGTCAGAGAAGGGTGGGAATCTGCAGCTGAGAGAGTAGTTGGAGAGGGTGCCTGACTCTAGGAAAGGAATAGATAAAACGCAGTTGTGAACAAGAAAGGAAGGAGTGTAAGGATGAGGCTGTGGGAGTGGTGAGTGGCGAACCTGATGAGACTGGATGAGACAGTCAATGTAGGGAGCCTTCTACTGGACCAGGTAGAGGTATGGAGAAAGCTTTTTGGGTTTGTTCATGTTCACTTCTGTCCTTTCAAAAAAATTTCTCTCGCAGACTATAGACCAGTTTGAATATGACGGTTGTGACAATTGTGATGCATACCTTCAAATGAAGGGTAACCGAGAGATGGTATATGACTGCACCAGCTCTTCCTTTGATGGGTAAGCCCTTTTAGATTTCCTCATTCACTTCTACATTACCCTTACCCTACCCTACTCCACCAAGTAAATGTGGAGCAGGCTTTTGAGACCATAATCCTGTCCAGTTCAGTGGCCATTAGCCACTTGTGGCATTGAGCACTTGAAATGTGGCTAATCCAAAGTGAGATATGCTTTAAGTAAAATGTACATTGAATTCCAAAGACAGCACAAGAAGAAGTAATGTAAAATAACTTAATATTTTTTGTATTAGATCTCAAAATGATGATATTTTGGATATATTAGGTAAAATTAAATATGGTTATGAGAAAAGTTAAAATAAGTTGTGTAGCTTTCATTATGTTTCTGCTGGACAGTTCTTCACTAGACCGTCAGCTCATTGATGATGGTAGGGACTTGTACACAAGGATCTGACACGGGGTCTGGAAGGAGATTACGGATGTTTAATAAATGTTTGTTGAATGCAAGAGGATCCTTTTTGAAAATGGAAAGAAAGAAAGGTACAATAGTGGTGAATTACTGCTCCAAAGTGATGCATTTAGATAGCTCTGAGGGGCCCTGTTAGAAAAGTTTTCCCTTATTGAGATTGTTCATTAGGGAGAAGAGGAAATGAGATAAACGTTACGTGATCAGGTCTCAATTTTCCTTTTCCAAGGTAGGAGCCAGAGGGTGGTATTCTTTAAAGAAGAACTGTTGTTTCTTTTAGCCTCTAGGCTAGTTAGAGTTGACACACAAACTGGGTTCAAACCCAGTATTTGCTAAAGTTCCTTTAAGGTGTGCCAACTCTATTCCTTTGATTTATTTTATGGAAGAATAAAGGATTGAGCAAAAAAATTGTTGTAGAACCTTTACTTTCTACATACGCATGTGCACACTCAATATTTTAATCTCTTCATTCTTCAGCACTGTTTAAAAATAACAGACCAAAATGGAGTCACTTTTGCTAAACCATGTCACCAAACCAAAACTTAATAACCAACCTAATCAAAGTTTCAGGAGTGGAATTTTAAGGCAGTCAGTTTTAAACCCATCAGTCTTGGGTTTCCTCTCCTAAAACTTTGTGCTAGATGAGAACAGTAAAGAGGGCAGTTCCCTTAGTCTTCTCTTCTATAATAGGCAAGGCTTGGGCTGACTTTATTTTTTCTTCCTAGAATTATTGCAATGATGAGTCCAGAGGACAGCTGGGTTTCCAAGTGGCAGCGAGTCAGTAAGTAACTCCCTTTCTGTTTATCCTGGCCTAGTCGTGGTGGTGTTGCTGTCCAGTGGGGAAGTGGCCTCAGTGAGACAGATGGGGTTGTAGGAAAGACAAGGAAAGTGTTCTGGGTCTTGTCATTGAACATTTGTAGCCAGAAGTGATTGCTTTTGTAGCATTTCTTTTAGCTTAAAGCTTCCATTTGGTCTTTACTCTTAATTCACTCTCACTGCAATCTCTTTTCTTTCAGGTAACTTTAAGCCCGGTGTGTATGCGGTATCAGTCACTGGTCGCCTTCCCCAAGGTAATAACAGTCATAATAACAGCCAATGTTTATTTACTGCGCCAAGCAAGTGGAAGTCCTTTATGTGTATTAACGTCAGTTCTCTCAACTCTACAAGGGTCCCAGGCACAGAGGTTAAATAACTTGTCCAAAGTCACCCAACTAGTAAGTTTGGAGTCAGAATTTGAACCCAGGCATTTTGGCTTCAGAACCCTTCCTTTTAACAACTACAGTGTGTCTCTCTTTTTCTTCACATTCCTACCAAGTCATTGCCAAACACTCACCTAGATCTTCAGGGTAACAAGCCAATCACTCAGGACTATCTGATGAGCAGTCTAGGAACTCCAGTTTTGTTTAGAGTCCTCCCTCTTCCAAAATGGTGGCGGAGAGACCTTCCTGCACAGAACTGTTTTCTTTTTCTGCTGCAGGAATCGTGCGAGAGCTGAAAAGTCGAGGAGTGGCCTACAAATCCAGAGACACAGCTATAAAGACCTAGCAGGACGCGTGGCTGCCAGTGTCTTTGCCACCACCTCTTACCTCTGCTTATTTATTGTTGTGAAACCAAATGGACAGAACTCATCCTCCAGTTCTGAAACTCAGCAGAATGTTGAGTGAACAGCACAGCGTGTCCCTGGGCCATTTTACTTTCTTTGGACTATTGGTGGGGTGGGAGTGGTTTGAGTTGGATTAATAGAGTCTGAATTGAGTGGGGACTAGGATGCTGGTTTTCCTACCCACAGCCCCATTTCCCATGGGCAGGACTTGGGTGTCAAATGCCAGTAAACATATCCCCTGACATATTTTGCTGTCTCTTTTTTAGCTGGTCATAGTAAGAACTCGCTCTATAAGCACCTTCCCAGAGGCCCTTCTACTCCCTGTTACCTGTCTCTGTGTGCTCCCTTGGGTCTCATTGGAAAGTCTGCTTTTCTGACGACTCTAGGCAATCTTATCATCCTGGTAGTCCTGATGTCCAGCAGTTGCCACCTTCTGTCCTCTAGACCAGGCACGGTGGATTTCTCTTGAAATCCTGAGACTTCTTAATATTCTTTTCCCCTTGCCCATGTTTAATACTTTTATTTTTTCCTTCCTTGTCTTTTCTTTTTACTGCTCTTCCTGTACCTTAGGCCAGCCAGTGGCACTTAAGACTTCTCCCTCCCCCAGTTACCCACATTCCACCTCATTCCCCTAACTGGAGACCCTCAAGTGGCTGCTGGGTCTTGGTCGGCTAGTTTGTGCCACCATAGGTAGTGGGTCTCTCTTTTTCTGGCCTAGCAGGGGGCCCTAAATGATGTCATATTACTGGCCAAGGTAAGTTATCGGTTTTGGAATTAAAAATTTACTATAAATTCTCAGTTTTTTAATTTCCACACGCACAAAAATCCTCTTAGTATTCCCATTTTGATTTCTTTGTTTCTTGTTCTCTGTAAAACAAGAATGATTATACTCTGCTCTATGCCTTAGGATTGTTATAAAAATGAAGCAATGTGAAAATTCCCATAACAATTTTTATAAAAGGTAAAATTCATTTGCTCTCCTTTTGTTAGTCATTCAATATAAAATTTATGTGCATAGTCAATCACAATAGTGAGAAAAGCCCAGAATCACCACTGCAGGTTGAGCTCTGACTCATTAGCTGAGGTGCCTACACTAGGGCTTTGTGTCTTTTAGCCACCTGGTGTTGCTAGTGAGTCAGTGTCTCGATACAGATGGCCTGGAGTGTGTGGGAAGGTGGGAGAGATGCTGACTCCCCAGAGACCACCCCTCTTCCCTTTCCTTGTCCTGGCAGGCCCATGGGAAGGAAGCTGGGATTGGCCCAGGCTGCCCATGACTCCACTCACAGGTCCTCCTCAAACCAGAACCATTTTCTCTGATGCCTTCAAGTTCTGAAGGAATGATCTGTTAACCCCAGTTCCAACTGAGTTTTTCAAGGATTTTCCCAGCTCAGCAAACCGAAAGAGCCCCAGTGGTGGTGGTTTCTGCAGTTTCAATCTGAAAGGAGCTTTGGGAAGCAGCTTACACCTGGCTAGAACTTACATCCCAGAGGGAAGAAGTGGGTTTCAGCAAGAGCGCCTAGGCCTGTGCAGCCAACACCCAACTTTCACTGGCTTTCTCAAAAAGTCCCTTGGAAATCCCCAGTTGTCGTCCTGTGTGCTGACCCGGACGTGGCTGCTTGGTGAGAATGGAAACAGTTGTGGGGAGGGGAGGCGAGAGGAGCTGTGCACAAATAACCACACTCAGGCTGTCTCAGCCCCACTGAGCCGGGACCTTAACTGTCGGCCTTTCAGGAAGCGAAAGACAGGCACTGGTGCCTGTGGGGGAGGGGTGGCCAGTTGCAGTGACCGGATTTCACAGATTCAGTGTGCCAAGCAGGGTCTGGAAGCTGCTTCTGAATTCACTTTCATTCTTTCTGGACCCTGAGCCTGCTTATGGTTCCACTTAGCAGCCTAGATAGGAAATAAAGTTCTGGAGTCCCATCCTCTGCTGGGAGCCCAAAGAAGCGAAACAGGGATTTGATTCTTCAAGGCTCCCTGGGAGTGAGCAGTGCTGTGTGGAAGAGGTTTTAAGTGTTAGTACTGCTGTGCCCTGTGCATGTGCCTGTCAAAGTTTCAGTGCCATTCTGACTGCTGAGTTCCCACATATGCCCAGGGTTTTGGTATCTTGATCTAGTTTGGTTTCTTCAGAAAGGCAAAGACTCTGCCTTAGTTCAACAAGGACAGACTCAAGTCAGATTAGAAACAGTAGTGACCAGGCTACTTTCCCCTTGCCTGCTTATTCTGTATTCTCCACTCCCTACCCACCACAGGGTTAGAGTGTCTCCCCAAAATGGACTAAGTGGCAGTGCATTGCTGAATGAAGCCAGTCCACAGCAGGGATCGGTAGCTGATAGAACAAGGGTCAGAACATTCTGGTCTTGGAGGAGAGCAGTTTCCCCATCTTTTCCCCAAGGATGGGCTGGTGAGAGCCTATACTCACGCTGGGCTCTTCAAGTTTGGGGACTGAGGCCTTACCCCTCTGGGCATGGCCACTACCTTCTTACTCCCAACTTGTCTATACAACCTGCTATTTACTCAAATCCCTTCCTGACACCTGATCTGTGTGTGCATATAAGAGACAGGTAATGTTTAAGAACAGACTAATAACATCTTACTTTGTCTGAAAAGTCTGATTCAGGTTTAGTATCAGTAAAATCTTTCATTTAAATAGCATTTTACAGTTGACAAAAGGGCTTTCATGTCCATTTTCTTATTTGATCCTCACCAAAGCCTGTGTCACAGTTATCCTTATGCAGTGCCAAAGAGACTGAGGCTCAAAGGGTTAAAGTGACTTGGTTATGATCAAGTAGTGGAGCCTTAGCTGAAAAACTACATAGCCCACACCCTGCCCTTTCCGACATTGTTATCCCCAAATGCAGCAGGTTTGCTCCTTTTGTGAATATTCCACAGAACCAGCGTGAGGCCTTAGCTTGCTGAGTGAAAATCATACACATCCCTA